GGCATCAAGATCACCTCCGGGTAACATGTTGATCTCATTAGGAAGAGACCGTCCAACAAGAGCTTTCATGGCCATCAAGACATTGACATTCCTTTCAGCATGAAACATCACAGTATCAACAGGTGACCTGATTTTAATGCACTGTTCGGCATGCATGGCAAGCGTCGGCTGACAAACTTCTTCATCAAACTCAAAAGAGAAACCACCCCACTTTCTTTCCCATTTGATGTTCCTTGCAGTCATCCTTTGGCTCATGGCTTGCATCATCAGATCTCTTGCCTCGACTCCAGACAATTCAAAGAGAAAAGCAAGAGCGTTCGTCAGCGCCAACAATGCATGTGGCGTAGCAATTGCATTGCCAAGCATACGGATACTGGCACGGTGATCATCAGGGAACCAACATGGCATCAGTGCACTCTGGGCAATGATTATCTCTGGCACACTCATGAATCTCAACCCTGTAGGCAAGGCCAGCAAAGTGCCAAAGAGACCTGCATGTTGCAACGTGGCATCAGGCAGCAAATGACCAAAGGAGTAGTTGCTCATGATACATCCAAACACTCCATGAGGATGTTTCACACGATATTGCTCCACATCTTTTCTGGATCGTTTCATGTTGCGTCCTCTCTGGTCAAGCGATTTCGGCAGGAGCTGTGGGTCCAGGTAGATCCGAAGCAAATCTTCATTCAGTCTGCACTGAGAAATCCATGGCTCACCAATGTCAAGGATGTTCATGAAGGTTTCAAGAGTCTGTCTTTGCGTGGAAGGCCAAGTCACAGGCAAATGCGGAAACAAATCGGCGGAATCCAGTGTTGCAACAATGATCAACCGATCTCGATGCTGAGGCGTGATTTCAGCCAAGTTGAGGTTCCTGGCAAATCGGATTGAATATCCTGTCCACAAGATGAAGTCAAGAATGATCTTCCAGTGTGCATGATCTTTCATACCCGACACCATCTCCATCAGGACAATGCGTGGCCTGAGGATGTTGGCCACTCCCCAAGCATGAAGCGTCAACCTACCATCAGCTCTGCCTAGACCCTGTTGTGAAGCAGCGAAACTCCATGGTGGGCAAGGTGGCGACATGACCAACAGGTCATAGGCATCATCTGAAAACAAATGTTTCCATGTGTGGAGGGTAACATCACCTTCAACAAAAAGTGACTCAGGCAGTGGGTCAATTCCCCATGTGAAATCGTCAGGCCCTACGACATGCTGGAACCCATGTGACCTCATGAAAGTCAGTGCACAAACGTGTTCAGAGTCCAGAGCTAACCGATGGGAGAATGGATATCCCAATTCACTGAGCTTTCTCATCGACTGGGACCAGCCCGAGAATCCACCACTAAAGAGTTCGCAACTGACCACATTTGGACCTTGCATTGGAATCCTGGCATCAGGACAAGCCATGACTCCAGACCTGGATGAGGTCGTGTCAATGATTCCATCACGGTTGACACCATCCAGCACCACAAAACGTTCAGCCTTGCTAATCACATGCTGCCATTGGTCTGAGGTGATTTTCAGTCGCACCTGAGAGACAAGGTCATGAGCACATCTTTTGGGTGTCAAAGGAACATTCCTGAAGAAATCCTGACATGTTTCCCCATTTCGTCTGATTTCACCTCGGAGCATCACATAGCTATGGGACATGACTTCCACAACCCTTTGGCCAACTTCACATGTGATCAAATCCAAGCATGGGCAAATTGCAGTCCTCGAACTATATTTGATGGCCAAACAGTGGGCATGATCATCAGCGGTTCTGAAACATTCCATGGTCCAATTGGCGCGCAGGATTTGCCTATCCTACCATACCAGCTTTACCCCGGGGAGGTTTGAACCAAAAAGCTATCCAACTTTTGACCATGGCACATATGGGTGTGCCTGGAAATGGGGTATACCCCCGAAATCGCCATCAAGACACAAAGATAATGAGGATTCATCAATGGATTACTGTAGGGGTATCCTATTTTCAGACAAAGCCATAGATCAAATGGGTCACATAGGGCTATGAAACTTGATGGATCAAATGGGGATGTAGTTTTATTTCATGGGCATGTTTGATTGGATCTAAAATCTTATAAAACCAACAATCATAGGATATGATTGGGATACCAATGGGATGTAATCGTCAAGAACCATGGTAAATGGGAAACTATATTTTGATGGGAAAAAGTAATGACAAACCAATAGAGGGAATGGGGTATTTGATTTCTCACACATTTGCTCAGAACAGTCATTGCGAATTCTGATGTGGAATGCATCTGACGTGCAAAAACACCAACGATAAGTTGACATGAAGAATGTATATTTGTAAAAATATATAGTAATCACAGTAGACATTGACCGTATAAAACAACAGCGATAAAATATAGGTCCCCCCCAGCTGCGACTTATATGCGCCCAGGGGCGGGACTCTATGTATATAACTAACGAACGAACGAACTAACTAACTAACTAAATAAATAAATAAAGTTGCAGGTACAGGAAACCGGCC